TTATTTTCTGGAAACATCAAGACCCCCTGCGTGCAGCGTGGACGCGCCAAAACACAAGGCGCCAGTGAGCCCTTCTGTATCTCCTGAAGTTGTTCCTGGAAATGTTGAACCCTCTAATGACCCTGTTGAATCTCTTAATTCCCCCGCAAATCCAACTACACATGAAACGGTCTCTCGAGTTAAACTTTCTAAGTTCGAGTTTAAACAGTTTGATGGGATGCTTGTTACAAAGTGGAGTACATTCTGGGACGGTTACGAGGCCTTTATTCACAAAAACACTACCATTGACAAGTTCAATTATTTGAACTCTATTTTGGAGAAAACAGCCAGTGAGAAGCCATTCCAGGTTTATCCTATCCATAACTACATCAAATTATGAGGAGGCTATCGCTTTTTTGAAGGACACATTTGGAAATAAACAAATGATTATCAACAAACATCTGAAAGGTCTTCTTAACAAGGCACCTGTCACTTCTAAGAATGATTTGAAGGGTCTGAGAAAAATCTTTGATCTAGTAGAAGCAAATGTGAGAGTATTTAAGGTACTTGGAGCCTCGTCTGAGTGTTATGGTAGTCTATACTGTCGGTCGTCAGTCCTAATAAATAAGATACGCCAAGAAATACGTCTGATTGTGAGCAGGGAAATCAAGGGGGGGGACTAGGAGCCAGAGTCCTTTATTGAAGGAGTTGCACCGAGAGCTAGAGGCAGGTAAGAAGCCACAGGAACACTAAATATTTAGAGGCCATCTACGAATTCACCACGAGCCTCAGCACTCAGCCCTACTTATATAAGATAATATCCCCTGCATACGAGGGAAACCTCTGAACTCAAAACGGGGCCGGCTGCCTATAATGTGTAGATCCAGGAAATATCCATACTCCCCCTTCCCCACCCACGTAGGGCTTTTTTGCTTTAGACCCCCACCCTTGTGATGCTTGTCATGCTTGTCATGCCCCCAACCCACCCCTGGAATTTCCGTAATTTTTTAACTTGGTTGGGTAACCGCTGGAAAGAATATGTGTGTCAAAAATGTTGTTGCACTATATTATTATGTAAAATATTTTTTTTTTCTGCGATAAAATGAGAAAAATCTTTTCATTCATGTTACGGTGTATAATAGCCTCAAGGACGTTCTTAGCTAATATTTAGATTTAGCCTGGGCTAAAAGTGAAGATCTCGATAATATTTATAATTTGCTCAAACAAAATATAAAATCGTGTTATGCTAAAGGTAATCTGATGTTACACGGGACGATTCGCAACGACGATTTTTAGCGCAACACAGCGTTGCAATGTCGGAACAATATTGTAACCATTCAAAACAATGCCGCAACAATGTTGCAATGCTGTGTTGAGTTAAAAATTATCGTTGCGAATCGTCTCGTGTAACATCGCCTTAAAGGTTGTTGAAACAATGTTGCAAGCACTCAAAACAATGTCGTCGCAATGTTGTTCAGGGTTTTGCTTTCTTGTGCAAATTAGGGCTTTTGTTATTTAAACCTCACTGGGATTACAAAATTTAAATATGAAAGGAAAAACGAAAAGAATTCTTGTCGTAGTAGTAAAATGACGCCAGCGTGCAATGGCCTATTCCCGACGATTTTCTGAAGTTAAATTGTTCACATTTCATTCCCCAGGTTAGGCTATCAAAAGAGTGATGGAGAGAGAAATCAGAAAAATTCTCACTTTGGTAATACGTTAAATTGCAACTAAAATTTTCGGGTAAATAATACTAAATCTCCTGTTATTTCGTAAAGACTCAAGTTTTCCTGGGCTGACCGAACAGATACAATTTTTATAGCGCCGCTTAGAATGCATTTCTAGAAATCTAAAATTACTCTGGATAGCCTAAAAAGTGTTTTAAATGTATTTAGGAGGAAACCGCAGTCGTTGGGTGCTCCTGAACAAATCTGATTTCCTCGATGCATGATCATGCTCTTAGTCCGCATCGTTGAGAACGACGGACGACCAACAATTTGATCATACTTCTACATTTGATTGATCATTCAAACTGTAGTGAACGGCAATAATCACTTGTAATTGTAAAATAGTTTTACCATAGTTTTTTATACAGGAGTTTTAAAAAGATTCGAACTGTTTTTCGCTCCCTTTTAATAATAGATTACTCGGGTTTTGAGTTCAATAGAAAAAAAAATCATATTCCACCGATGACGAATCCTTTGTTGACTGCACTGAGCTATATAAGCCGGAAAACTACTGAAATAAAATAAACGAGGTCTACTAACTCACCAATAACCTAGCAGATTAGCCCTGAGACATTCATACAGTGACCACCACAAGATTCACAAATGACTGAATGAACTTCGGATTCACTGGGAGTGCTGGTCAGATTATATTTTGACTTGTCATCGGTAATCGCTTTATGACCATAAACAAAATACGTCCACCGAAAAAATAAAAATAATAAAACAACTGTGAATAAATGGATGAAATTGTAAACTTAAGGGAGCTTTCTTTTCTTTGGGAAACTTTGAAATTCATTAGGAATACCTTTTTTCGGACAGAACAACTGTAACATTGTTAAAACACGCCTTTTCCAAAGGCCGCTGATGAAAAATTGCGCCCGATACCAGCAACGACTCATAGCCTGCGTCGCAGACACTCTAAACACGCGTATACCAAGGAGAAAAACATAAAAATTCTACATCAACGTCTAATGAATAATGTGAAAAGACAAAATGTTAGGGAATCCCGCATTTTGAACAGTTGAGAATTTGCGCATCTCGCTAACGTAAATATATATATATATATATATATTTTTTAAATATGTTTATTGATAATCACATTAAATAATTACATTTACAAAACACACACAAAAAAAAACACTTTAAAAAGAGACATTAACAGAGTAAAGCAAAAAAAATTGTCAAATTATTACAGGAGGTGTTACAGGGCTAAAAGAAATTGTAAAAAAAGTACAACAGGGCAATGAAATAATACGGAGTTAATACAGTTAACTTAATTAAGGCGTCAGTATCCACTTTCTTTTAAAGAATTCTTTGTTGCTGATTTTTTCTTCTGTTTCATATTTAGAGATGATCTAACGTAAATATTGCGTGACAAAGGTTATTTGAAAATATTTTGTTTTGTTGCTTCATAAGTCAAAGCAGTGATAGACTTCCTCCTAATGAGTTTTAATTGTTTGTCGGAAAATATTTGACGAAGTTTCCTGTAGGGAGTGCGAATTGTAAGGTATTGAAACGCATAAACAAAGCTTGGTGCGTGCAAGTTTAATAAGTTAAGATTTTTGCTTTGTCGTAGTGTACACACTTCTATGTCGACCAGGCTTTGTCATCGCTAGGATGAATACTGTAACAATATTTTGCAATAGACAGGAATCTCACTTATTGATAAGTGGTAAATATAGTCGCGTTAAACCATTCCGTGAGCAAACTAATCGAATTAATTAATATTTACATGGTTACAGTTGTTGCTCTCTACTTCAAATTTCTGAACCAGCGATATATCTCAGCGAACACTCCCAAATTAACGAGCCAGCGATATATCCCTAACAATGTAACTTTGAAAACACAGAAACGCGTTGCATTTTATGACCGGTGCTAGCCTTCGGCTAGGCCCCGGTAATGAGGGATATGTTTCGCATCTGAAATAAGGCATGGTTTCACTGAATCTTTTATCTCGGAAGCGGCCAGCAGAACGCTTCCTCGCCTTGCGTTGTTTGCAAACCAGTATTTCATACATTAATATACATAACACAATGTTGCAATTTTATTCCTCAGTTATCATACATCAGGTTTTTTATTTGAACTGATATTGCAGGTAATGTGAAATAAAAAAAAAGGAATAACATATTAAGTAAATTCCAAGATTGTTTAACTATGCATTAATGATTCTAAGCTGTGTAGATGTAGGTTTAGAAGTGGACTATACTTGAGGGGTTCTGTCAACTGCATTTCAACAAATCTTTAGACAGCAGCGACGAATCTTGGGAAAAACTTTCCAATAAGGTGGGATTTTATGCTTTTGTCTGGCAAAACAGGTTTTTACTTTCCTTTAACTGGAAATTCTGCCCCACAAAAATACTTTATGAAGTGAATTTATTGCAGTTTGCATGCTTATAAGCAATGCAGTGCTAGAGCTCCTCAAGTCTTCTGAGTCCAGTGAGCTTATACTGGACCGTCAGTTTTAGCCTAGAAAAGTTGATATACTCAGCAATATATCAGAGCTTATAGGTTCAAGGTTCATATATTTCACACTATTAACAGAGGGTGACAGAGAAATCAAAATATACAATAGATGATTGCAAAATAAAATAATTGCAGCACCGGTTATAAAATGTGTGTGGTGGTCAAATTAGCAAAAGCTGTCTAGTTGACCACCACCCACTTTTAAATAAAATGAAGAAATGACACTGAGCTTTACATATAGTAGAGAATGTTTGAACAGCCTAGGACTAATTTACTATTTCGGTATGTAGGGTACTGTCATTACATCAGCAAAAATTTAAGTGCATATATACCCAGCTACAAGTGAAACAAATCATCTGTTAAAACTGAATTTTACCTCCCAGTATCAGGAAAGCAATGCCAGGAGGATTTGTGTCTTTCCATTCAATTTTAGTTTTTCACCCTTGAATTGGGTCTCGGATAGGATATCCATTTTCATTTGTCATATCCTTAAATAGGGTCAGGGTTTAAGACCCTGGGCGGCACACACCTATCCGAAATTTATTGAAGTAACCCCCTCCATCCAGGTGCTATCTCTACACACCCGGACCAAGGGAATATTTGTACCTTGAGTGTAAAAGAACAATACTGTGCAATGTTAATACTTTGACAGCCATTATACAATAATCATATGTGGCTTTCATAATAAAAGTTGTTTATATCTCTCATTTACACTGTTGTTGAAGTCGAAGGCTGACTAGAAATGGCATTATCTCTGATGACAATCATCTGAAAATATGTTTTGCGCATGTTCTCTAGCTCCTCCAAAAAACTACGGCTCATGTGATATGGATGGCCGCTGTCCTTCAGTAGGGTAAGACCATCTATGAATTGTTCACAAGTAGCTTTAAGAATTTCCTTATCTGGTTTTAACCTTGTTACACGTTTATATACTTCCCTAAGTGACACTACACTATTACTAAAAAATGCTTCATCAATTCCTTCTTTCTTCAACAAAGAATGAATGTCCATACGTACCTGGTGTAGCACTTTCATAACTACCAATCTCTCATTATCTGAGTCGACCTGGTCAATGTATCGAGTATTACTCAAAAGTTCCTGAGATTCTCTCGCAAAATCTGATAAGTACTTTTCATCTTGCAGGTCTTCTTGTATTACTTTCAGGAAGCTTAATGGATGATCTTGATCAAACCCTGGATCAAATTCAAATTGAAATTTATTGATCTTTGAATAATGTGTGCTCCGTTGATGTCGACCAACTTGATTGTCAAAGCTCAAGTATTCTATATATGGAACCATTTCTTTAATCGTTGTCAGATTAATATCTCTCAGCTCTTTTTCGGTTTCAATCTCTCCATCTCTGCTAAAATGTTTAAGGCATTTTAAAACTGTCTGACGCTGGTCCCCTGTGAAAAATGGCAATGTCACCTGTCCCAGTTCAGTGACCAGTTCTCCAAGCTCTGCTCTCATATTGCTTATAGGGACAGGTTCCAACAGTATGAAAGAGGCGCAAGTATTTAGCAGCTGAAAGATGCTGTTTAGGTCTTTCCTAAGTTTGTACAACGCGCTGTTTCTAGAGGAACGAGACATGAAGTACGAATTATTCAACATGTACCTCAGAACGTCTAGGCCGGTGATCTCTGGGCAAATCAGAACATTTTCGAATGTTTCGTTCGTATTTGATACCCAAGAAAGAACTTGTTTATATTCCAGTGTACTGTATTGTCCTCTGAAAGTTTCAGCGAATTGTCGCCAATCTCTCCTTTGTTGATCCCGTCTATCTCTGCGTCTCAAATAGATCGTTCCAAACAAAAAGATGGCCGTTGTTATAACTACATTAAAACAGTAGTAAGCCAAAGTGATTTCTTCTCTGTATGCCTTAGCGAAATTCATATCCACATCTAAAGAGCTTCACACTTGGTCGTTCACGAGTAAAATAAGCCAAAAACAAGTAATATTTGGTGGAAGTAGTTATCATGGACGAGTGGAAGTTTTCCCCTGTGTCTTGGTTTCAAGTTTGTTAAATCAGCATGTTATAAAATTCTTCTTTTATGTTGTTTACACTCGTAATTGTCCTAGACTGTGCCCAAAGCAGCGAGAATTGCCAGCGCCATTTTGAAAACCGTGAAGACACGGCAAGTACTTCATGGCAGTCTCCATATAGACTCCCTGAGATATCTTATGTTTACCCTAGTAGTACTGTATACGCTGTATACACTGTCTACCCATGTTTACCCTAGTAATACTGTATATCCTGTATACCCCTATATATCCTGTGTACCCATGTTTACCCTAGTAATACTGTATACTCTGTGTACCCCTATTTATCCTGTGTACCCATGTTTACCCTAGTAATACTGTATACCCTGTATACCCTGTATACCCTGTATACCCCTATATATCCTGTGTACCCTACCCTGTGGAGTCATAGCCTAATTATACCAATCTTCAAAAAAGATGATCCGTCCAACCCAGAGAATTATAGAGGAGTTACTCTCTTATCAGCCATGGGAAAGATTTTTACCTCAATAATGAATAGCAGGCTTTGTGACTATCTAATTGAAAAGGGCATAATTACTCAATATGGCTTCCGAAAAAAAAAAAAACATTGTACACAGGACAGTATCTTCATTTTAAAAGCACTAATAGACAAATATGTTAAATCTAAACCCAAGAAATCAAATAACCTTTTATTCACCTGCTTTGTTGACTTTAGTAAAGCATTCGATAGTATCTCCAGAGGGTAACTATAACGGGGCGCTTCCTTGAGATTTTACATTCAATGTACTCCAATGATAAATCATCTGTGAAAATAGAAAATATGCTAACACCTGCCTTTCGATGCCATACCGGTGTAAAACAAGGTTGCATGCTCTCGCCAACCCTTTTTAACCTTTATCTTAGTGACCTTTCAGAGGAACTTAAGGCCAAGAACCTAAATGACGTAGAGGTAAACGAGTTACCGTTAAGTTGTATGCTCTACGCGGATGACTTGGTCATATTCTCCAAATCAAAAAACGGACTGCAGGATTATTTGGATTCCCTCAGTGAATACTGCAAAGAAAACGACTTGTCGGTTACCCTTAATAAAACTAAGGTGTTCATTTTTAATAACTGCGGGAGAACCATGAATAAGCACGTAGTATACTATAGAGGCAGTAAACTTGACAATGTTAGCAATTACAAATATCTTGGCCTACAATTTAGTACTTATGGGACCTTCACGTACCCTAAACAGGAAATACAGAAGGTTGCCCTTAGAGCTTTGTACAAACTCAGGAAGGAAATGGGCGACCATTTCAGAGACAATGTACAGCTCACAATGAAAATTTTTGACACGGTTATTTCCCCAATATACGGAAGCGAGGTCTGGGGGTCGATCACGACGGAAAGCTAGAAAATGATCCAATTGAGTTTGTTCAAACAAATTTCATTAGGTGGCTTTTGGGAGTTAACAAATTCTGTAGCTCAAATGCGTGCAGATCGGAGGTAGGCCGTTTGGGGCCGTTTCCCAGTCCGAACGAAGACAAAGTGCAGAGCCATTAAATATTGGCTGAAATTTTGTGAGCCGGAGCACCAAAATAAACTCTCTGGAATAGCATTTACAGACCAAATTGGTCAAGATAAAAAGGAACTTTGGTCAAGCAAATTAAAACGGCTATTAAATCTCGCAGGTCTTGGCGACATATGGTCAGCGAAAACGAACACTCCCGCAATCATGAGCTATATACGACAGAGACTCTTAGACATAGAACAGCAAACATGGATTAGCGAAATACACAATGATGAACGAAAGGACCCGCATCAAAAAAACAAACTAAGAACTTTGAGGAAATTTAAAGTTACCCATGACTACGAAAATTACCTCACAAATGTAAGAAACATCAATCATAGAGTAGCAATCACTAAGCTAAGATTAAGCAACCACAAACTAACAATTGAAACTGGACGATACGTTAAACCCTATCAACCACCAGACCAAAGAATCTGTCCATTATGTAAAACTGGATTAGAAGACGAGGAGCATTTTTTGGTGAATTGCATAGCCTATAGGGATCCTAGGAGAGAGCAGTTCAATACGCTAAAAAAGGAGACTAATCTTATTCTTGACTCTATGACTCCAAGCTCTGCCTTTGCAATGTTGATAAGTATGAAGCAAGGAGAGAAAACGCAAAAAATTGCGGCTAAATACATATATGATCGCTTCCGCGAAAGAGATAGACGCGTTAAATATAACCTTGTTTAATAGTTGTATAAATTTTACAAATGTACACCTCTGTAATTATTGCACGAAAATCTTTGTTATCGTTGTAAACATATGTGTCTGTAGGCGCTCTGTTGATAATAAAGCACTTATCCTATCCTATCCTATCCTGTTTACCCATGTTTACCCTAGTAATACTGTATACCCTGTATACCCCTATATATCCCCTGTACCCATGTTAACCCTAGTAACACTGTATACCGTGTATACCCCTATTTATCCTGTGTACCCATGTTTACCCTAGCCATACTGTATACCCTGTATACCCCTATTTATCCTGTTTACTCATGTTTACCCTAGTCATACTGTATACCCCGTATACCCCTATTTATCCTGTTTACTCACGTTTACCCTAGTCATACTGTATACCCTGTATACCGCTATATATCTTGTGTACACGTTTACCCTAGTAATACTGAATACTCTTTATACCCCTATATATCCTGTGTACCCATGTTGACTCTAGTGTCTCTGTATACCCTTGTTTATTCTGTTTACCCGTGTTTACCAAAGTCATTCTGTATATTAGCGGACAATTCTTGTTAGGACCACCACATACCATATACTTATAGACGAACTCCACTTCTTAGGTTTGGAACCCGTGCTATCTGATTGGATTAAGTCAGTCTTTTTTCACCAATAGAACCTAAGCCGTGTGTATAGGTAATACCTTGTCTGAGTGGAAACACACCCATAGTGACATACCCCAAGGAACTAAGATGGGCGTGTTCTCAATTTAGATAAGTAGATTCAATACTAGATACGTACTACAGTTTTCATTAGCGATTTGAATTTTGCCTGTTAGAGACAGACGCATTTTTTATTGAGCATAAGATGAAGTTAAATCCTAAAGAAATGGTTATAAATTTCATGAAATATCCCAATAATACCATACGACCTCTTTTCTTTCATACTTACTTTACGCAACAAATGAAATGAACGTCAGGTTCACTCGGTGTGCTGCGTGGTCAGGTTATGACGTGTTATCTCGATCATTGGCTTTGTGACCATAAACGATACCGTTAACCAGATAGATAGATAGATACTTTATTATAAACACCATTGCAGCCATAGGCTGAATTACGGGATATTTACAAATACTGATGATAACAAGGAGAAAATAAGAAAATTATCTACATCTTATAGACATGGCTAAAAATAAAACTTTTCTTCAAACGCTCGGTTTTACATAGGGGGAGAGTGAAATCACTTTTGCGTCTCAGTGCATATTTACAACTCTTCCTTTGGGGGAGGAGGCTATGGAGACTGTGGGTGGGGTTACAGACGATCTCGTCAAACGGATCGATTGAAATCTTTTCTCTCCTCTCATGAAGATTAGGTAGGCCAACTGTTTCTAGTGCTACACTATATGACAGGTCAGGATAGATGATTCTGAAAGCCCTTCTTTGGATCCGTTCCAAATCTTCACTGATGTAGTTTGGTAGAGAACGATGGAATACAGGACCTGCGTATTCCAGGACGGGCCTAATACATGTCACATAGAATTGCACCGGTTCACTTGGTGCCACTCCGGATCTCTTGAGTTGACGAAAAAATTGAGACGAGAGAAACATTTTCTAATTAATTCAGAGGAGTGCATGTTCCACTTTAAATCGTGGCTAATGGTCACGCCTAGCAATTTGGCACTGGTGACTAATTCAAGGGGTTTGCCATTTAGGACTAGGGGTTCAAAATCGTGGTTGCTGTTGGAGAATTCAATTCGAAGTTCTTTGCACTTGGCCTCATTCAATTGGAACCCATCGAGACTCACTTGTCTCGAAAGGTCATCCAGAGCTTCTTGGAGTTTGCTCTCACTACCCTTTGTAACTATTTCGGAACAAGATGTATCATCCACGTATTTCCACATGTCAACTGGTGTGTCCAAGTCATTAATCATGACAAGAAATAACCAGGGGCCTAGTTTTGTTCCCTGGGGGACACCGGATGGCAAGAGCGCCATGAGAGTGACAATCCTGAGCAAGTTTAACTCCTTGTTTCCGGTCCATCAAGAAGTCAACAATCCAACCTTTGCCGGGACTTTGCCATTATGGAACCATTGTGGCGATTCCATCATGAATGATGTCAGTTCGCTATCTTTTAAACACATTCTTACTCAACCGTGAAAGAAACCAAAAGTTAATAGCAAAGCAAGCTTACTTCAAACAATATTAAGTCAGTCACTGCTGGATATTTTATCAGGGTGAAACTAGTCGAAACTACACTAGCGGTGTTAGTTTGCACTCCTTGCTTGCCTGTCATTTTTTTGTGTCCATAATAAATGATAGGATTGAGAAAAACCATTTGCTTCGCTTGATTTCGCTTAGGTTCCATGGATTAAATCATGATTATCACTAAAGCGACCTAACGCCTTCTACTCATTCTTTGCATGGAGTCACTTCGAGCCGGACATTTCTTGAAGAGATAATTCTTGTGCTTGTAAGGTACATTGTGACTCTGTGTTTGTGACTCTCGAATCGGATAAATCTTGTTTACGCGTCGGTGCTGTGGCACCTTCTCGAATCAACTGTCTAAAAGTGGAAGTGGTGACGCGACGGAAAGGGAAAAGCCTGTCAAGGATAAAGGCCACGCGTGAAGGACATAGAACCACCGTTAAACGTATCGCCCATGC